CAGGATCAAGTCATCAGACTTGGAGCAAGTGCCTTTCCTCCTGAGCCTTTTTTCCAGCCCTGTGAATCTTAATTGAGAAATTGACATTTATGGTTTCTGGATTTTTCTTCCTGAGCATCTTTCTGCTGTGAAATAATCCCTTTGTACACTAAAGATTTGTCACTCAAATTGGTTTAATAAAATGCTATTTGGTCAGTAGCAGGGCAAAAACTATAGAGTATTCAGGTAGGAAGGGCAGTGTGGTGACATATTATTTATGATTTATTAAAGGTTGCCTGAAGAACACGGAAGCAAAGCAGCCAAGCCAGAAGATCTTACCTCTACCAAGCTGAAATGGCAGTCCTGTACCCATGAATCCTCAGAGGCATAAGCTCTCAGTTCCTGTCTCCTCCTCCTTATATTCCTTTCTCAGCCCAGCCATATCCTCCTGTTACCACCTCCCTAGTGCTGGGATGAAAGATGTGAGCTGTTTCTCTTTACTCTTGTGTAGGCAAGAGTGTCCTTGAACTCAGAGAGATCCTTCTGCTGCCTCCTGAGTCCTGGGATTAACAGTGTGTGCCACCACTGCCTGCCCCTATGGCTTGTGGCTGGCTTTGCTTTCTGAATCCTCAGGCAAGCTCTATTAAATAATAAATAATATATCGCCACAGCAGAGTTTGAGGAGATTCCAGCCAGCCTCAGAGGAAGCAGGAGGTATAGAAAACTAGGTAACAAGCCATGAAGAACATGGCAAAGCATAGATAAGAAATGAGTTCATTTAAATGTAAGAATCAGCTAAGCATTTTTAAATTATATTAAGTCCCTGAGTCAGTTGTTTGGGAAGTGTTTGCTGGTTATTTGGGAGCAGGCAGTGGGAACTGGAAAACTGCCTTCACAAGGTTTCCCTGTAGCTTTGGAGCATGGTCTGGCACTCGCTCTGTAGATCAGAACTGGGCTCAAACTCAAAGAGATCCACCTAACTGCCTCTGCATCCTGAGCACTGGGATTAAAGGCATGCGCCACCGATGCCCGGCTGCCTTCACCTATTTTCAATAGACACCTCAACTCTTGTTTCATGCTGGCCTGTTCTATCATTCTTTTTTGTGTTGAAGCCACAAATCTTGCATAAGTCATGGTACCAAAATATTTGAGGTCACTAAGAGGAACAGTGTGGAGCTGTGCCTCTGTTCCAGTCACTGAAGCCATCCACACATGTGCTGTCCCTGTCCCAACCACCACTCTAGCCACAGGCCTCCTTATTGTCCAGACTTCAAAGTCAGGGTAGGTTCTCTCCTGGGGCCCTCTTCCAGGATCTTCAAGAGGTTGGGGCTGAGCTCAGTGCCTCAGTAATTAATTGCCTAGCTTCAGGAGACCTTGGGGTTCAGTTCCAGAACCAAAAACTGATGTGGTCCTTCCACCTATGACAACAGAAATTATCAGGTGGGATTTATATTTCTGTTGTCCCTGGCTGACTTGAACTCATTCTGTAAACCAGGCTGTCCTCAAACTCAGAGATCCTAGAATTAAAAGCATGTGCCACCACCAACTGGCTCAGAACATGCAACTTTAACTGTATGCTCTTAGGAACAGAGACAAACTGAATTGTGGCACATGCCTGTGATCTGGACACCTGGGAGGTGGTGGAAGCAGGACCAGGAGTTCAAAGTCAACCATGGTTTTTTAGACAGTTGGTGTTGAGCCTGGGATACATGACACCAGGTCTCAAATCAAAACACACACACACACACACCAGGCAAACAGAAATAATCATCAGGTCTGTGATCCCAGCTACTCAGGAGGCTGAGGTCAAAGCATCACAAGTTTACAGTACGCTGGGAAACTACGTGAGTTCCATGGCTACCTGGGCAATTTCTGAGAACCTGTTTCAAAACAAAAAACACAAAGCCCTAAAGATATAGCTAACTGGAATAGTATTATAGTGTTTGCTTAGCATTCATGAGTCCCTGAACTAAAATAATCTGCCTGGTATTGTAGTACATGCCTATAATCACAGCACTCAGCAGCCTGATGCAAAAGGATCAGAAGTTCAGAGATACCTTTTAAGGCCAGCCTAGGCTGCAAGAGGGCCTACCTAAAAAAAAAAATAATATCAACCAGTCACCATGGAGACTGGTATGTGATGTGAGAAAACCTTCCCTAGATTTTTGGCCTCTAGCAATTTGGGGTCAGCATTTTCTGCACACTGTGGCCCCAATCATAACTAGTTCTATCTATTGTAAATAAAACAATTCCCTTAGGGGATGTAGGTGGCCCTATTACAAAGGTTTCTTTTTAGTGATCTATTTTTATTTTTCATGTTTGGATGTTTTGCCTGCCTGCATGTCTGTGTATTACATATGTGCATGGTCATTGGAGGGCAAAAAAGCACTGGGATTCTTCGGAACCAGAGATACAGTTATGAGCCACCATATGGGTGCTAAGAATCAAACCTGGTTTCTATTTGCACTGTGAATTAGGGAACCATTTCTCCAGCCCCAGTTAAAAGAATTGTGTATTTGTGTGTTTCAGGAGGGAGAAGGATGTGCATGTGAGTGCAGGTACCCAAGGAGACTAGAAGAGAATGTTAGACCCCCTGGAGCTGGAGCTGGAGTTACTGGCAGTAGTAAGCTATCAGATCTGGGTATTGAGAATTGAACCCTATGTTGCCAGCTAGATCAGCACATGCTGTTAACTGCTGAGCCATCTCTCTAGCCTCTCATAAGGTTTTCTTTGCTTCCTTTTTTACATTTACATATTGGGGGAAGAGCATGTGGGTATGCCATGGTGTGTGTATAAATCAAAAAAACTGAACTCAGGTTGTCAAGCTAAGCAAATGTCCATAACCCACTGAGTCATTTTGCTAGCTCACAAGGATTAAAACATTACTTTATATTATTGGGGTTTTTTGTTTTTGCCTGCATGTATGCCTGCGCACCACTTACATGCCTGGTGTCCTGGGAGGCTTCTGGACGATCTTCCAGAGAATCCAAGTTCAATCCCAGCACCCACATGTCAGCTGACACCCTCTTCTGTCTTCCATGGGCACCAGGCACGTGGTACACATATATACATGCAGGCAAAGCACACGTAAAATAAAACTTTTTTACATCTTTCCAAATTCACGCAGTTCAGGTGCCGAGTACAAGCTGGTTATCCTGGGTTTTTGTTTTGGGCCATTACTACGGGCTTCATCTACATGGTTCTTTCCTTCCTGGAAGGATATGTTCTACTGCTGTCTGTCCTCTTCCTCGACTATTTCCATAGGTTCTGAGGATCTGGATTACAGGAGGGACTCTGATTTGATCAATTATAACAATTAATGCCATAGGTAACAAACAATCCACAATTGAAGACCAGTCAATTTTTTACAAATAAACTTAAATTGCCCACTACACTAACTTTCATAATTATGGTAACTAACAAAGAATGCTTTAAGCAGGAATATTTATTTTTGCTATGTTTTCCCTACAGTTAAGGTCATGTGTCCCAGCAAGTTAAGGTTTTACTCAATGTAGCCCAGGCTCTCCTAGACCTCACGTTGATGCACCTGGTCTGGGATTAATGATGGGATTAAAGATTTGGGATAGTAAAACCGGTCAGTAGACCAAGCTCCACCACTCAGAGAACATGTATTTCACTGTTCATGTTAGCACACATTAGCAGATGAAAACACAGGAGATTATAGAGAAATAGATTTTAATCAAACAGAAAGGTAAACTCTAGGCATCTATTATCTTTCTGCCTAAAACTTAAAAGGACAGTGGAGACAAACTGTTGAAACAAGGCAGTTTCCCCACACTTGTGACACAGCTCCAGTTACCAAAAAAAAAAAAAAAACAAAACTTTAATGAAACATGAGAATAGAAGTCTGAGAGCTTTAAAAAGTGTATAAAACCCCCCCAAATGTGTCAAGGTTATCCTTCTTCTACAAAATAGCACCAGTAATTAGAGTAAAAGGTGTTAAAAACCACTGCGACAGCATTTCTGAAATGCAGCTTTTCTCATCTCCAGTGATGCCTTAAAAAAGAATGCCCCTTAAAATAGATAATATATCATAGGGTAAAAAGGCTTTAAAAATCTCCAGAAGATCCAAATTTCTCATTGTGGTTTCCCCATCATCTCTTAGATAAGGGAAAGTAATGTGCTTCTGGCCCTAGCTTCTCATAAAGTACTAGAGGACCATACTTATCTGGGTACCTGAGCTGGTGGGGAAGGGGGTCCATCATTTGGAGAGAGGGCATGGCAAATAGTTTAGCTAAACTCCCTCCTTCATGTCCCTTACACATGGAAGAGGGCCCCCGCCCCTTTCCTGAGCTCAAAACATTCTATCCAGTCTTCTCTTCTTGAGGATTAGCTACGTGGGCCCCTGCACAGGGAAATCTTGGGGGAAATTGCCCTGAATGTGACGATGACATCATCCCTGCTGACACCATCACCATGGGAAATGCTATAAGACCAACAGGACTCCAGCCCATGACCAAACAAGGGAAGGTGCCCGGAAGACCTTTTCATCTTCGACTATCCCTAGGGAAAACATTTTTGAAAAAATTCTGGCCCCTTGACCTTGTTCATCTGAGCCCACATTGCCATTGGCATCCTCTAGCAAATGTGGAAATAGGTTATTTAAAAAGAAAATCAAGTGATTTTGCAGCATTACCCTGAGTACTGGGAGAGCCGTCGTTTTGGTATCTTAGCCATCACTTCTGACTGATTAACCCAAGAGGGGAAAAAAGCCATCTTACTATCTACTTCAAGTTTTAAAGTTTCAGGATAAGAAAACATGAGCACCATATTGGGCTACTCTAAGCAGCCAGTTCTAAGTTGTGCACATGGTGGGAGCACCTTGGCTCCCCTGTAAGGGCCAGGAGGCTCTGCTCCCACTGAGCAGGAGAAAGCTGAGGTACACAGTGAGTTGGGGCCCCAAACAGGTGAGCTGAGAAACGGGAGAGGTGAGGTGCCTTCAGGGAGGGGTGACTCTGGGGACCTGGCTCAGACCAAAAGTACCCCAGTCCTGGGTAGAACTATTCACATGCAAAGTAGTCCTTCAAGGGGGCAAAGAGGTGTCTGATGACTGGCACACTCCAGGACCTTCCCAGCAGCTTCTGGCGGGCACCACGGCCCATGTTGGATACATCCGTGTAGTGTGCAGGAAAGCCGAAGATCCTGGGAGAGAACAGAGCGAAAAGACACAAGGTTAGAAGGGCCCATGTCCCCAGCACACCCAGAACAGCTGTGTTTTCGAAGTCCAGGCCTAGGAAAGCCATGAGGCTTCAGTCAGGACCACTGGGCTCAAAGGAACCTTCTAGACCACCAGTTCAATTGTTAGCTCAGCTAACAGCTGCAGGGAACCAGTGCTGTGTATCTTCACTGGGACTGTGCTCCTTACATGCCATGCAAGGATGCTTCTTAAATGCCTAGTGTAAATTAACCCATGAATGATCACCAGTCAGCAGACATGTATCCAGGACCATTCTTAAATGCATAGTGTGAACATTGGCTTCAAAACATAATAAGCAGTCAAAGCATTTGTTTTCCAGGGGAAGAAACAAAAGACAAGATTTTCAATGACAAACACAGGGGCTTACAAGATACCAGTTCTTCCATAGCCAGTTGAGCACATGTACATACACAGTACTCTTGCTCTCTCTCAAAATATGAGAGAAAAATCCAGAGCTTGCCTAATGTGCTTCATCAGGATGCTGAAGAGGACAAAGACTGAACCGCAGTATCGCTGGCTTTTGACAGCTCTAAAGTTACCTGTAGGAATTCAACACCTCAAGGCCAGACCATGCTATTCCTGGCATCTACACAGTACCAATCACACCTCAAGAACCACTTTAAACTTTCAAATTTCAGAACAGGCTATACAGCATGGACATAATAAGTGACCTCAGCCTGTGGCCCAGGGAGCTTTGCAGAAGAGGGCACTGAGACTGCTAAGAGCCTGAAGAAGTTGATAATATACTGAAACTGTTTTCAGACTTAACAGGGCTTAAGCACATATGAACACACAGTATTGTGATGGTATGCACCAGACCAATGCAAGATCCCACCATATAGTGGTGGAAGTAAGAATATGCAAATATGCTCAAATTTAAAAAAGAATTCATTGGAGCCGGGCGTTGGTGGCGCACGCCTTTAATCCCAACACTCGGGAGGCAGAGGCAGGCAGATCTCTGTGAGTTTGAGACCAGCCTGGTCTACAAGAGCTAGTTCCAGGACAGCCTCCAAAGCCACAGAGAAACCCTGTCTCAAAAAACCAAAAGAACTAATTGATTGGATTTATTTATTATGTATACAGTGTTCTGTCTACATGTGTGCCTGAAGGCCAGAAGAGGGGGCACCAGATCTCATTCCAGATGGTTGTGAGCCACCATGTGGAATTGAACTCAGGACCCCTAGAAGAGCAATGAGTGTTCTTAGCCTCTGAGCCATCTCTCCAGCCTGGTAAAAGAAATTTTTAAGGCCATTTTTAAGGCCAACTTTAGCACAGAAGTGTCTAGACTATAGTGAATCCATACTCGGCCAGGAGATTAGAAAAGAAACATGTAATGAAATATGAAATATTAACATCTTCATGAAATAATTAATATAAAATATCTGGAAAAGGGGACAGGTGGTGGTGGTGCACGCCATTAATCCCAGCACTCAGGAAGCAGAGGCAGAAGGATGTTTGTGCGTTCAAGGCCAGCCTGGTCTACAGAGCTTGTTCCAGGATAGCCAGGGCTACACAGAGAAACCCTATAACAAGAAGCTAAATAAATAAATAAAAAAGGCAGGAGGATCTTTCTGAATTCATGGCCATATACATATTCAGCTCCAGGCCAGCCAGACCTGTCTCACCCCAAAACCCAAAACAAAACCAAAACAAAAAACTGCACAACTGAATGAAAGAGATGATTGCTCAAGGAAGACTAGGGAGAAAAGTACCCATTGGAGCAGAAATCTGGGGATAAAGGCAGAGTTTCCATAGCTTTCTCATTTAAAGCAGATTCTGGGACAGGGAAATATCAGGGAATACAGACAGGTGTCCACACTGTCCTCTCTTGCTTCATTTCCCCCTTCCTGCCTTTGTTCCCAAGGGTTCCCTCTCCACGTGCAGCTCACCTTTCGAGCTCAGTACACCACAAAACATCGTCCTTGCCATTCATGACTACAGGGAAAAGCTGGTTTTTCCCCTGTCTGATGGAGTTCGACTTGGTGGTTATTGTCTGTACTTTCTTTAACTGGAGAACAAAACAACATCGCCGGGTGAGCACAGAAGGCTTCCAAGTAGAGTCAGGCTCAGGGGCATCCAGAGGGCAGAGGACAGAAGGCAAGAGTTTGGAGAGGTGGCAGGGACAGGCATCCAAAGAGAGAGAGGACAAAGACACTTGAAGAGATTCTATATGCTCTCCACAAATGCCACATACATTTTAGCCAAAAGTGACCATGAAGGATCACATGGTGCCCAAGACACCAGTTATTGACCAAAGGGGTCATTAAGAGCAAAAACCATCCAGACTCAGAATGCCCAACCAGAGCTTGAGCAATAGGCCTTTGCTTTTCACAGACATGGAGGAGCAGGCACCGGACGCCTTACAGTGCATCTCTGACTGCACAGCACATAGCCTTTTGCAATAGCGTCTGCCACTGTTGCCTCTGCAAAGACTCCCTGCAGCACAGCCTCTATGCCTCCAGCATTAACCACTGCAGAGCCCGGTCACATTGTCTCACGGGGATTATTTACCAAGAACATCTCCTACTCTGTACTTGAAGAAGAGACAGAACTATTCTGTGGGGAAAGAAGCCCAGCACCAGGGGTCTGTGAGGGAATGAGTGGGAGCCACGTGGATAGAGCCAAAGTCACAGTTTTCCAGAAGGTGCAGCATAGACCACTCAGCGTCTTACCTTTGCTGTCCTACTGAACTCCAAGCAGTCCTGCAGCTCGAGCTTATCATTCTTGGAAGCTATCACAGGCCTGGGAACAGCCAAAACCCGTTACTCTCCAGCATCTGCCCTGGAGGTCTAAGCTAGAGACCTCGCAAGTCAGACGAGGAGAGAACCTAGCTTTTTAAATAAAATTTAATTTAAAAACTATGTATGAACATTTGCCTGTATATGTAATAACACCATGTGCAGACATGGTTCTAGGAAGTGAAGAGAACGTATAGTATAGCCTCTAGAACTGAGGTTACACAGTTCTGAGCTGCCATTTAGGTGTTGGGAAGGGAACCAAGAGCAACAAGTGCTCTGAACTGACAGTTCCTCAGCTCCAGAATCTGCTTCCTAATTGTACTTAGATAATGATCAAGTCACAAATGTTGGATGAAAACCATCCTGCTGAGAGCACAAGGTTATGCTGAAGTGCCTAAAAACAGCCCATTACCCACAAGAAGTATAGTGTTGCAGTTACTGAATGGCATGCATTAAGAGGGGACCAAGTCCTGTGCAAACAGAAAGTGTTCCTCCACTGTTACAATAGGCAGCACTATCACCTTGGTCTAGGTCACCACGGACATCCTTACTATGAGACGTGCACGGCTAGGAATGGGAGCTCAGAAGGCTAGTCTAGTAATAGTAAATGCCACCCTGCAATGAATGTGATTGCTCCTTCTAAATAGGACCATCTAAATAGGATCAGCAAATGTGGAGTCAAACATCATGAGCTGGATTTCAAAGCAGAAACCTGTCCATATCTGTACATAGAAGTCATGAACTACAGCAGCCCCATTATAGGCCCCGAATAACTGAGACATCAAAATGAAAGCAGTTTAATTAAGAAATGACATCCAGACCTGACAGACTTCTAGCCACCCAATGACAAATAATTGAGTCTAAACCTGAGACCAAGTAAAAGGGTCAGAGGAAGCCTGGATCTGTGCAGATTCAAGGATCCACACAAGACATCCACACAGGTAGTGGGGCATGGGCAAGTCTAAGGCCAGGGACCCCTTAGCGGAGTGTGACACCAACATGGAGCTTTCAGGTGTTCATAGAGCATGCAGGCACACACAGGCACACACATAAGCATAATTAAAAAAATAAGGATTTGCACAAATTTAATTCTCAGATTGACTGGTGGATGATAATCCAACAGATATGAGCTAGTGACGTCTGTCTCCACCACCTAGACTTCAGTGCTCACTCTTCTTGTGACCAACATGCTGGCTGTCACATAACTCGAGTCTCCAGCTGTTGACATCCTTGACAGAGAATAAACCACACCACTTCCTTTGTGTATCTTTCTGCCTTCTTCCTCTTTTCCTCTCACTATACAAAAATCAATCTCACCCCCTATGTTTTCCAATGACAACAATAAGTATCCGGTACTGTGCTTACTTACATGGAAACCTGCAATTTAGTTTTGCTCCAAGGTGTTCCTGACCTAAAAACAGTGATCTTGAAGCTTGTCTAGGGAAACCCATCAACCCCTGAAATCCAGAGCCCTTTATCACTCATAGGATGCTCATTCTTCACACAGCTGCATTCCTTTTGTTCTGTTGAATGAGACCTCTTCTTCCCATCCACATTTGAAAAGCAACCTTCCCATCCATGAACATACCTACTATCCTTTCTCAAGTAGCTTGTCCACTCCACAAAAGCCACCACTAGAGTCCACCATTGAATGGGCAACACAACAGCAATGAGAGAGTTTGATTGCTATGTAAATCAGCATAGGGTATCCCAAAAATGAACATGGTATGGTACCAGTAATTCAGCAAGCTTCAATGGTTAAGTGGTTAATGATAACCTCCTGACACCTGGAGCACCATACTACAGGCTCCGCCTACCCTTCTTGGGACACTTGGCCAATGTCCAAATTGGTTTATCACCAGATGCCTCTGCTTAGTTATCCCTCAGAGATGGTCAATACCATCAAAGTTTCTATATTCATTAGCAAGGTCTTGAAAGCAAACATGGATAAGCAGGCCTCTACAGAGCGATTGCTTGTCTATAAACTCCCTTGACTAAACAACTTTTGGTTCATGATTAAAGAGTAGGAAATACTGTCTGAGAAAACTAGGATTAGGGTTAGAAAGCCAGAGTCTATGATTTTTATAATAAATAAATGTATTTATTATGTGTATGAAAGTATTGTCTGCATTTATTATCTGCATATCACATGCATACCTGTCACCCTCAGAAGACAAGAGGGCATCAGATTCTGTGGAAAGAGACACTAAGAACAATAATTTTTACGTGGGATGCCATCAACTTAAAAAACTTCTATAGGGGGCTGTAATAAGATCTGGTGCACTCTGCTGGCCTGCAGACAGAAGACTGTATATATAATAAATAAATAAATAAATAAATCTTTAAATAAAAAAAAACTTCTATAAAACTTCTATAGGGCCGTAAGGACATCATCTTGTGGCAAAATTGCAGCCTATAGAATGGGAAAATGTCTTAGCAATCATATATCTAATAGAGGGTTAGTATCTATAAAGAACTAAGAAATGGGGATCAGAAGTAGTGAACTAACTCCTCAAAATACGAAATATGAACAGTTGAGAGAGACTTAATAAAATATTCAACATTCCTAGGCACTGTGAAAGTATAATTATAGATGAGCAGCGGTGGCAAGCGCCTTTTAATCTCAGCAGAGGCAGACAGGTCTCTGTGAATCTGAGGGCAACCTGGTCTACAGAGTTTCAGAACCCTGTGTCCAAAGGGGGAAAAAAAGAAAAACAAAAAGACTCAAAGAAAAAGAAAAATCAAATGCAAATTATTACCGAGGTTTCATCTTATGACAGTCAGAATGGACAAGATGAATACAAATGATACCTCGTGGTGACAAGGATGTGGGCAACGGGAAAGAAACAATTATTCATTGCTGGTGGGCATGCAAATTGGTTCAGGCACTATGTGCCATTTGGCAGTTCCTTGGGAAGTTGGAAATGGATATGCCTCAAGATACAGTTATTCCAGTCTTGATGATGTACCCAAAGGTATACATATCATCCTACACCCTACTATAGAGCCACTTGCTCAGTCATGTGCATTACTGATCTATTCAAAATTGCCAGAGAAGTCAAAAACAGCATAGATGTTCTGTCAATTAATGGATAGTGAAAATGTCATTCATTCATACAATGGAATTTTCAGATGTTAAGAAAAACAAAATAGCTGGGTGGTGATGAACCATGCCTTTAGTCCCAGCACTCAGGAGGCAGAGGTAAGTAGATCTCCATGGCCAGTCTGGTCTACAGAGGTTCAGGACAGCCAGGGCTACACAGAGACCCTGTCTTAAAAAGAAAAAAAAATAATAATAATGAAATGGCAGGAACCAGGAAAAATATCCTGCATGAAATAATCCAGACACAAAGGTCAAATATTGTCTGTTCTACTTTATATTGCATAATAGCTTTTACGCCCTCGGGATATGTGTATGCTACAACACTCCATAGTTTAGGTATACAGTAAGAAGATGGAGGAATCCAAAGCAAATGGATATAGAATATATTGCTATAGAGAAGTAAGATAATAGATGGATTAAATAGAGAATGAGGGAAAAAAGATTTTATTTTTATGAATGGTTTCTCTGTATGTATTACATGCATACCACAACTTCATCTTAGGGTCAGGAAAAATGATGTCTTTGACATTCAGCATTTGCAATAGAAGACTTGTCTACGGCCATACAGAACGCGCCCGATCTCGTCTGATCTCGGAAGCAATAGAAGACTTAGCACAGCAGGAAGTTAGTTCTCAGTCATCATGAGAACCTTGAGAAATATCCGCCTTTATCTAGAGCAAGACAGCTGACCAGTAGTCTAGTTATTCAGAGCATCCTAAAGCCATGACCTTCTTTCTAGACAGTGATTCTCAACCTTCATAATGCTGTGATCCTTTAATACAGTTCCTCGGGCTGGACAGATGGCCCAGTGGTTAAGAGTGCTTGCCACTCAAGCAAAGGACTGGTTGATAGCTTTCATGGGCTCCTGCACGCATGTAGGACGCATAAATTAATGGAAAAAAGCCCAAATAACAGTTGTAGTGACCAACATATTATTTCACTGCTACCTCGTAATTGTAGTTTTGCTACTGTTATGAAACATAATGTAAATATTTGATATGGGAACCCTATGAAAGGGTCATTGGATTCCCCCGCCCCAAAGGGGTCCTGCCCACAGGTTGAAAACCACTGTTCTAGAAAACTGAAATGTCAGTCAGACTTTGCCATCCCTCTCAGGTCTCTTACCTGTTCATCCCAGGTAGGTTGCCCCAGAAATATCGGGCCCTATGTGCAGCAGAAACCTTGATGGCATCGATCATCACTGGGTTACACTGCAAGAAGAGAAAGGGAGCTGCTAGAGACACCTCAAGACTTAGCTAGAGCTGCCAGGCAGCCCATGTTTGACCTGTCGGGTGACAAGCCTTTCCTAGCTAAAGAAGAGGCAACGAGACTGACCAGGTCCCACCCAGAGGCTGGCTGGAGAGAGCTATGCAAGATGGTGGGGTCAAGATGATCAAACCTGCCCAAACTGATTCATGTCAAAATTATGTCTGCAGAAGTTTGTACAGGCAATGTATGCAAGCCTAACCAGGGCTTCAGGACAGCTCTATCACTTAAGGCTAGACAAGTTATAAGCCAGCTGTGGTGGTGCACACCTGTAATCCCTGCTCTCTAGAAGCAGAGACAGGAAGAGTAAAGGTTCAAGGAAAGCCAGGGCTACGTGAGACCATCTTCAAAAAGAAGCACAGAGCCAGCAGGGTGGTTCAGCAGGATTGGGTGCTTTTATGCTGATGCCCAGAGTTTGATATCCAGAAGCCACATTGTGGAGAGAATGGACTCCAAAGTAATCCTGTGACCTTCAAACATGCAGCATGGCAGGTGTGCCTGTGTGCACACATACAAAATAAAGCTTAGAAATGAAAGAAAACACACCAAGAACTGGAAAGACAAAAGCTTAGTAACTGTCCCAGTCATTATCAATACAAACAGAAGATAGGAAAAGTGCCAGCTAACAAGGACAGGTGAGCCAAAGGATCACCTAAGTTTAGAAGGTTGCCGAACTGTTCATCCATAGATCTAGCCATACCGTCCTCTAATCAGGCAATCATTTCCTCAGCAGTATCAAGCAGCCTTCAGTGTTGGCGGTACCTTCCCTGCCTAGGCTCCCCTGACAGTCCACTCACCGCCAGGAATCGGGAGATGTCTTTCTTGTCGTTAACCTTCATGGCCACCACATTCTCAAACATCCAGAAGAACGGACGGTTGTCGCCCTCCTTGGGGCGGGTATAATTCAGCAAGTGGTAAAACTCAAAGAAGAGCCTGCCGGTGCCCTCTATATTGATTGAGAGCATTGGAAAACAGAGTTCAATCAGGAGATTCATCAGCATATACCTCAACTTTCCCAAAACCAACAGTTTCCAAAGGAAATGGCAATAAAATAAAGCCTGTACTCGTTGTGCCCTGGAATTCCAAACAATATAATGGGGCCTAAGCCATGAGCAAGGTGAGAAACTCCGACATTTTCTTTGCAGCCCATTCCATCAGAACTGACACTGCTGATAGTGGCCCTGGCAGGGAGGGGGTCACAAAACCAGTCATTCTCCTCACCATATAGGCCTTTCCTGGCTGGATTGACATTGGAGAGGTCATTGCAAGGGCTTCCACCAATCACCAAGTCAAAAGGGCCCCACTCTTCAATCTGAGGAAAAGACACACAGCTAGGATGAACCTAAGGAAGGAAGAGCTAAAACCTTGGATTCTGGGGGAGGGGAGAGGAGAGGTTGAGAAGACAGAAAAAGAAATCATCAAATCACCCTCTCACCACTCAGTGCTTAACACCTGAATGCTCATGTTCTAACAGAACTAAGTAATCTTGAGCTATAACTCAAACTGCCCTATTTGTACTTTTTTCTGAAGTGTCCACAGCTTCTCACACCTGCAACCCTGGACCTGAAGAATAGGGCCAATATGCCTTGAGACTCGGCAAGGTCCAGCGTATAGAAAAGAAATAAGCAAGATGAGATGAATTCCAGGAAAAAGGTCACCCTCACATTTTTCTTTGTGATTTTCCTGACGTCATTCACATATTTGATTTGACCTTCATGCTTAACAGTTCCCACAGCAATGGACTCTGTACACACTTCGGATGCAACATACTTTTCCACTTTGATACCCAGCTCTTTGAGCACCAAGTACCCTGTGAGGGATCAAACAGAAATGTGAGGACAAGAGGCCAGGCGCAGAGCCATCAGTCCCAGCCACGGTGTCCTCCTGAAGCACACTGAAGAACCCCTTACTACATCACTGTCACTTCAGGGTGTCTGTGTCGACTCCGGGGACCTCAGAACATTGCCAGTATTGGCTATGTTCATTCCTTCTATGTATGGGACAGCTCACAAAAAGGGAAGGAACCAGGATTGAGGAAGGCAGCTGTTGCCTAATTGTCCCTAGTTATTTATTCATATAGAAGGAAAAGTTGAAGAAAGGACACACATGACATCCTAGCTACTACTCTTCTCAATTATCATGGGAGACACACCTTCAGCCCGTCTAGAAGATTCTTCCATTGGCCTAACAGAGCATGCTCAGATAAGCCTCTACTCACCTGTTGCAATTCCATCAAACAAGGACAGGACTCTAATAGGTCTCCTCTTGGCTGCAGGAATTGCTGGGTACAACTTGGGTGGCTCCTGCCAGATAAGTAAAGAGAGTGATGTCTCAGAGTGTGCACCTATCCTCCTGTACTCAGAAGCATCCATGGGAACTGGTAAGAGATCACTGGGCACAGGCTGGCCATTCTGTCCTTAGATAGGAGGCACAGCTGCCTCCTACAGACGCATAGAGCCAGATCAGGAGCTTGACCGCTAACGGCCAAGGCCTGAGAACAGAAGATCAACTCCTACATTGTGGGAGCAGCTGCCCTTGTCACCCTCACGCTGGGATGTTTCCATCCTGTTCCCTCCTCAGAAGGTACTGGAAGGGAGAATTGTCTGCTAGAGGTGTTGACTAGCAAGGGCTCTTAGCCTCTGGCACGGGCTCTGTGAGGTACAGATGGTATAGCAGAAATGGATTCTTGCTGCACATTCCCAGCTGGCCTTGACCTCACTATTTAACACAGGCTGCCCTTAAACTCATCACAAAGCTCATGGCTCAGATATCTGTGCTGTCACTATGCCTGGTACTATAACTTTTGGGGGCTGTTTTGACACAGAATCTCAGTATATAAGTAGCCTTGACTGGCCGGGAAGTCACTTGACTGACCAGGCTGTCATTGAACTCAGCCATATGACTGCTTGTCTCCTACATCCTGAGATGAAAGGCCTAACTCTTGCTTTGACAGATGCACAGGAATCCAGATTCTCAGGGACTGCAATTGCAAGGGACTAAACAGAGGCTCTATAGGGCTTACGAATTCTTCGAGGTCAGGATCAGAAGTGAAGAAGTCTTGCAGGCGCATGTTCCAATCCTTCCTGCGCCTGAGGACCCCATGGCAGCGCTGTGGAAGGCACATATAGCAGCTCCAGGGTTCCTGCAGCTTGGCATCCTCAGCTGTCCCTGTACCCACCAGCACCTCCAGACACTCCACACAGAAGCACCTGTGCCAGAGTATCCAGAGAGAACGGGATCACGGTTAGCAGACATTTGCCCTGCGGGTCCAGTTAGTTCCCCAGGGCATGACCACCCCTGCCTGATGCTCAGCCTCCTGCCTCCACATGCTTTGAGATATAGGGTAACAAACCACTTCTTGAATGTGGGTCCTTCACACTCCCTACAAATCTAGACCCTTTCAACACAAACCTCCCAGGGCTGATCTCACAGGCACACCTGACCCAAGGCCATGCCCATGCCCACCAGAGCCCACAGAATAGCCACTGGGTGCTCATTTTCTATGGATTTTAGCTGCCTACAGGCTGCAGGAACGGTGGGGTACACCCGGGGACCCTAGACCCTCTCGTCCAGGCCCCACAGAAGGACACTCACCTGCAGCAGCTTGTGTTGCTGCACAGAAGCAGCTCTCGGCCCTCGCAGCACACAGTGCAGTAGGACTGATAGCCGTCCTCATCGTACATGTAGAACAGCTCCAGGAAGCGATCCTGACAGCCAGAGAGAAAGCCCATGAGACCATAGTCCTGGCCTCAGTCAGGTCTGGCTAGCAAGCTGGCTGGGGCCCTAAGCTGGTGGCCCGGGTGCCCTTCAATGACAGTCTATGTGAGCTGAGCGCCTTATGGAGGGAGGGCCTTCTCTGCTGCAGCACCTGTCCCCAAACAGGAAGGGTGTTGGGAGATGTGCCCTGGGAAGCTGTTCATTAGCGCCTGGAGCAGGGACTGTGCTGGGGGCCTGTCTGGGGAAGGGTGTGGCAGAGGAAGGGGCAGGAAGACTTACCCGGCAACTCTGACAGAGCCCACCCTCAAAGAGGGGATGGAAGGATACAGGGTTCTTCCTACCACAGGACAAGCAGCGTTCTGAGAGAAAGACAGGGTGTCAGAGTCTATGGAGATCAAGGGGCTAACATCTCCTGATGAAGCCTTAAGTGTGAGAGTTCTGAAATCCTGCTGTGTCAAGGACTTTGTTCTTTTGCAATGATGTGTTTCAATTTAAATGTTACTAATTCAAATCAACAAAAAGGAGCTACACATGAGCAAGGGGTTTGCAAAGAAAAACACCAAACAAATTCTTGTACCAATGGAAACCACAATTTGTTTTGCAGATGACACTACAAATCCTACCAATGATGTAGCATTAATGTGCCTTCAGACACCAGCTCTCTCCTCTACCTAAAACAATCAGCAGATTTTAACTAATTGGGTCTAATTTCAGGTCTGAATCCATCTGTTTTTCATGTGACCTTTATACCCCTGAATCTGGAAGCAGAGGTATAGAGTACTCCTGGACAATATGGTCTACTTAGTGAATTCCACGGCAGCTGGTGCTAATTGAAGATTCAAGGTAGGAATGACAGGAGGATAGACAGATGACAGATAGCTATATAGTTAAAGAAATAAATAATAATAATCCTGACCGAAACTGTCTGACTAGGAGGGGGTGGGTGACTTCTACATGGGAGGTAAGGCAAATACTGTGAGAGCCTGTTCTGCACACCAACTTTCCCATGATTTTTATACTTTATTTTTATATACATGTGTGTGCACAGCTGCACATATGCAAACTATGGAAAGCATAGTTAAATTTTGGGTTTCTTACAGTTGTTTGGTTTTCCCACTCACTGTGAGTGAGACAGAGAGAGAGTGTGTGTGTGTGTCTGTGTGTGTGTATATGTTTATACTATATTCTTGAAGGAAGACATTCTCATGACACAGGTCAAGAGAACACTATGGGTGTTAAGACTTTCTACTCTAAAACATTGGTCAGAATGTATCTCACTTGTCCCTGGATACCATTTGTCCAGGAATTCTCTTCTTTAACATTGGTTTTTTGAGGGGCTGGAGACATGACTCAGAGGTTAAGAGCACCGGCTGCTCTTCCAGAGGTCCTGAGTTCAATTCCCAGCAACCACATGGTGGCTCACAACCATCTATAATTGGATCTGGTGCCCTCTTCTGGTGTGCAGATACACATGGAAGCAGAATGTTATATACATAATAACTAAGTTCTCAAAAAAAAAAGGATTAAAATTTTTTAAAAAATAGTTTGTATGTTTTTTGTTGTTAAAGACAGAGTTTCTCTGTGGCTTTGGAGGCTGTCCTGGAACTCGATCTGTAGACCAGGATGGCCTGCCTCTACCTCCCAAGTGCTGGGATTAAAGGCATGCCCACCACTGCCTGGCAGTTTCTCTTTTCTTGACCTGTCCTGAATTTCCTTCTTAAGCACCATGACTGTCAAAGGTGGCTTAGTCATTGCCTTTGTGGTACTGTATTTCTGGAAAAATAATCTGAGGTCCTAACCCCTCCATGGGAAGCATTATCACCCTGCACCATGATCATGAAACCTTATATCTAACCCATCTCTGTCTCAAAAGGGCCATGTTACTGGTACAAACCAAGCTTTTAAAAACGACTTACTTGTATACATCCACTCAGTCTGTGCTCACACATAACAAGAGGACAGGGTAAGTCTTTTTGACCTGGGATTGCAGGGAGTCAGTGTAACCCACATCAAGGCCAGCTTGGTTTTTTTTTTCCCGTGGTTTTGGCAGGACCACAGCACAGGTATTATATGAGTCATAAGCACTTTACTCACAGACATTACCTACGTTCAGGGCAAAATTTCTTACCCAATACTAAGCAACTATCTCTAAGGACTAAGGAGAAGCAAGTTGGGAAGGCAAACAGGGAGTTTCTCACATATTCAAAACTCCAATAGCTTGGTTCTGAGACAAATGAATGCAAGGAAAAATAATGGAACAATACCAAAGTAGATCATGGAAAGCACAAGGTACCAATGCTGGCCAAAATGCTGCAGCTCACATTGTCCCCTACTGTGATCTCTCTGGTCAGTAACTTCACGGACAAAATCAGATTCAGTTAAACATGGGTGCAGGAATAGGTCCTGATGTAGGACAATGCTCAGGCTCTGTATTGAACCCATGCAGAAGGTCAAAGCCAGGCTAAGACAGGCCTGGGGCACCCCAGAAGGAAGTGCCGGGGGACAACAGTACCTTCCAGATTGCCCTTGTTGTTGGTGACATCAGAAGCCATCCGTTCTGTTGAGGAAAGAGGGACAAGGTGTGAGACGAGGTGGGGAAGTCCCTCCTTTCCCACGCAGCCATACACCTCTGCAGACCTGCTGCTCCTGGTATGCACCATGCATGGCCAGGCCTTTCAGCACCCGACCCCAAATCACCTCGGCTCTCATCATCCTGCCCTCGGTCTTTCCCACCGTAGCTGTTGGTCTTGAGGCGCTTGGGAGGGGGATAGGACTCAGAAGCTGCAGAGTCGTTGTTGGTTGTGCCTCTTCGACTTTTGTTCTCTGAAAGGTAAGGAGACGCATTTGACTGAAGGTCTAAGAGACAAAGCGGGCCTCAGACAAGACCATGCTTGGCCTGGGATCCAGCTGCATCTAGAGCAGGGGCCATGATGGGGTGGGTGTAGAACCCCAGAGGGTAGCCCAGAGCAGAAGCCAATTCAGAGCTCCTCTCACCCAGGAAGCAGGCCAGACTCATGTTCATGGGGTTTACACATCTGAATGTGTAAGAGAATCCATCCTTCTAGAGTGAGCCCAGAGCACATGCTGAGCCACAGCTGGAACTCTGAGGTTCCTACAGTGATGCCCACCACAATGCTCAATGGCAGCAGGGAGCTATTTGAAATGTCAGGAGGGACAGGATTTCACACTGGGGGTCAGGTCCAAATCGTCACGTGAAGCCACTGCCTGGTTCAACTGGCTTGACTTAAATAATGGAATCTACTTTAGCCAATTTTATATTAGTTAATATGGAATTAACTAATTGGGTGATGTTTATCACCAATATACAACTTAAGACATCACTAAATATGGAAATACTTTAATTTTGTAATAATTTAGAAAGTAGATTAAATGTATAATATTTCAGTTGTTCTATTACTAGAAAATTAAGTTATATTTTTTTAATCCTGAGTGTGACAGTACATTCCTTTAGTGACAGCATTCAGAAAGCACAGACAGAAAGTTCAAGGCCACCCAAATCTACATAGAAGGTTCTAGAACAGTGAGGGCTATAGTAAGAACCTGTTTAAAACAAATGTTTTATTTTGGCTCACTTTCTCGTGTTTCTACATTGACTCATATTAGAAATGATTAAATTTGATTAAATTTTTGTATTCCAGGACAGGTTTTCTTGGTATAACCCTGGATGTCCTTGAATCAGCTCTATAGTCCAGGCTGGCCTTGAACTCTGTCTGCCTGTGACTCCTAAGTGCTGGGATTAAAGGCATGTGCCATCATGGCATGGCAAGGAAATAAAATTATAAACCCATCAAACTCCATAAGGAAGCTATGTGTAATGACATACTCCTGTATCCAAATCTAGCCTGGGATTTATAGTGAGGCACTGTCACAAGAAACTAAAACATGGCCACTGAGACAGCTCTGGGGGTCAACGTGTCTGCAGGTTAAGTCTAGCAATCTGATACCAGTCACCCCAGCGGTAGAGACTATACTCATGAACCCTGTCCTCTGATCTCCATCTCCACACATAAACACCAACACACACACACAAAAAAAAAATACTTAAAGTTACCAAAATTCAAAGATCCTTTGATGGCAAAGTGACAATTTCCAGTGCTTATACATGTCATTAATGTTAAGAAACAAGAGAGAAGGAGATAATCCAAAGAGTGTGTGAGGCGGGATGTGCACCCATGGTTAGCCTGAGGGTCGGTGAGGGCGGGGAGTGAGGGGAGGGATTCATATCAGCTTAGGAGACTTGATTCTTCTCCAGTGAGCACTGTAGATGCCAAGAAATTGCAGAACAGAGCAAAGAAAACAGAACACTCAAAGATGGTAAGGGAATACCGTGTTTCCTGGGTTCTAACTTGCTACTGCCTGCACGACGCACCTTCGACTTATTAATCACTTTTGCAGGAAAACAAAACAAAAACATTCCATTAGATTAGGAGCTGGCTGTACAGGGACAACCTTCACTTCATTACGTTAATCCTGCGCATATTCAGGGAAGGAATGGCAGGGAGCCAAATTTATTTTAATTTTTCATTTCAAAGAAAATCTGGCCACAAAGGTAAAAGATGAATTTGGATATGTGGAAAAGATTAATTGCACTGCACACACCCATGGCAGCAATATGGCCAGGGAAGCCAGACAAGGCAGGTAATGGCCCTCAAGCTCCCAGAGGCTTTTAATTAACAGCCTGGGGTCCACAGTAAAAGTAGGCCTTGCTTGAGTTGGCACAATAAGAGTGCTGAGGGTACCAGTGTGGCTGAGGCCTATACCATCAACAGAGGTATAGATTCATTCCCACCTGGTTGCTTGTTATTCGGTTTGAGGCCCTCGATGCCAGTGGGCTTGAAGCCCCCGTGGGCCCACTCCAGCATGGGCTTCAGCTTGTCCTCCAGTGAGTCTCCGGGGCTACTAGGGAAGGTCTTGCCAGCTCGCACCCTGGCTCTCTGCCAAGACACAAATAAAGATCAAGTCTATCCATGAATGGGAGCAGGTGAATGAGGTATGTGCCAGGGTGAACCCAGGGATTCCTCCTGCTGGGGACTGCATTACCTAAACACTGGTGTCTGAAACAGCTGCACAGCTGTCTTGGGGTGTTATGTGACAAGGGGTCTGCTTTTGAGGGACAGGTAAGGAAACAACAGTAAGGGACATGGGTGACAGACATTTTTCCCTGTAGGCACCAGATATGTTCAGATCCCTGACAGAGATTGATTAAGCTGAGCTATTGAGAGGACCATCCCCATCGCCAACAGCTTATCCAGGAAGGCTACCTTTGACTCATGTCTTCTGAAGGGATGTAGCCAAGCACCCATTATTTCCAGGGCCAAGAGAATCTGTACATCTATGTACTTAGCACCACAGCACAAAGGTTCCCGGGGATAAACAACTGTCTACAAACTATGAGAAGAGAAAACTAGCCATTGCATCCTCTATGCTTAGAAATCCTGTTCACAGATTGATAAAAGGCCCTTAAATGTGATTAGGTGACCTCACAAGTCATGAATCTTCCTGTCTTACCTAATATCAGTATTAGCAACTTACTGGTGATTCCCCTTGTAACCAGTTCAACCCAACCAGAGGTCAGACCCCATCTTCTTGCCACTCCCTTCTCTTTGGTATCTCTGCCCCAAGCCAGTCTTGAGGGACACCTTCTACTCGCTTTTACTCCATAGGTTTCTTCTTTCTGCCCTGCCTATAGGCTGACACCCTAGCTAGCACCCACACCCATGTTACCTCCAGAGTGTGGTACATGGCCTTCCTATAAGAAACCAGCTTATTGAAGGTGGCCAGGTTAAAGTGCTGGCTGAACAGCCCAAGGGCCACGAGTTTGTCAGCAGAGACCTAGGAGAGAAAAACATGGCCGTGATCGAACCACACTTGAGATTAATGTGCACTGTTTCACCCAGAGCCCAACGAAGCAACAACTTACAGATGCCAGAACTGAAAAATAAGGGGCAAATGAGAAATGGCATATAGCAAATTTGGCCATGAGAAACTCCAGATGTGGGTAAGGAGGATAATTCAAGTAAAACTAGGTATGTCTTCAAAATCCCTGCACATGTGCACATACATGTGTATGAACAGAGTGAATGTCCCTGGTACAGACCTGAGTCTCAGTCCTGAAACTGTCCACGATCTATCTGAGCATGTTCCTTACCTTCCAGATTGTCACTGCCAACCAAGGATTTCCCACTGTGCACAGGTTGAACATATGCTTGAATTCTTTATTTTTGATACAGGGTTTCTCCGTGTAGCTTTGGACCCTGGCCTGGCACTCGCTCTGTAGACCAGGCTGGCCTCAAACGCAGAGATCCACCTGCCTCTGCCTCCCAAGTGCTGGGATTTGCATGCTTGAGTTCTTAATAGTCGCAATAGTTGTATACCTTATATCCTAATCACTAAAGGCAACTTGCCTTCTGTCGATGCAGAAATGAATTATGGGTGGGATTCCTAGTGAGTGCAAAGATAAAACTGGGTGACAAGGAACTGCCAGCTGCTCTACCCAACATGAGCAGAACACAGTGGGTGCTATATAGGCCCTGGGCAGGTCTTTGCCTTTTGCCAGGATCACGGCACACTCTAACACTATCCCACAATGCTACCATCTCCATGCTACCTCTTATTGCCATCTTACCCTGTCCAGAGATGAGTATATTTTGTCTTTCGGATCAAAGCAATGGCAAATATCCCTTCTTCTAAGACTGGCTTGGGGCAGAGATACCAAAGAGAAGGGAGTGGCAAGAAGATGGGGCAAATGATGCATAAACCCAAGTCACTATTCCTCCTGCTCCCTCTGCTGTTCAGACAAGGCAACTGCATGTAACCTCTCAGAACAGTCTTCAAGTCCTATTTGTTGTCACCCAGGGAAATGTAGGATATACTTTAGGAAAAGTCATAGAAATCCAACTCATAGGAAAGAAAACCTGAAATGGAACCAAGTCCCAAATGCCACTTCACTCCGACCTGTTTGTTGTACTTCAGGAAACCCCATCCTGTCTGTGTCTGGGAATTGGCCTAACACTGACTAACATTTCTAAGGAAACCCCCAGGAAATCCATTCTGCAGCCCTCAAAGCCAAACCAGAAACAATTCCAAGTGGTTAAGAGCACAGTGGTTGCTGGTTATTGGTGGCCCATGCCTTTAATCCCAGCACTCAGGAGGTAAAGGCAGGTGGATTTCTGTGAGTTCAAGGCCAGCCTAGTCTACAGAGTGAATTCCAGGACAGCCTACAGAGAAACCCTGTCTCGAAAAACCAAACAAACAAACAAAAAGAGTACAGTGGTTTCTCCTCCACAGGCTTGGGTTAGATTCCCAGTACCCAGATGGTAGCTCATGACGTCCAGAGTCAAGATCTGAAATCACTCTTCTGACCTTCCATGGTGTACAGAAATAGATAGAGAATGATGCATACATATTTAAAAAAATCTTAAAGCAGATCTCAGAACACATGTTTAAAGTTAAGAGTCAAAGTGGGGCTGATGGGATGGGAGAAAATAAACTCTCTCATTTATGCTGAGAAGACCATCATTATAAAGACTCATTTAAAATGTTTAACATTAGAAGCTCATACTGTCTCTTATTTTTAATGAGATGGGGTTTCTTTATACAGCCTCTCTGGCTGTCCTGGACTCCGCTGTGTAGACAAGGTGTATGTAAGATATGTTTCACAATACCACTTGTGTGTGTGTGTGTGTGTGTGTGTGTGTGTGTGTGTGTGTGTGTGTGTGTGGTGGGGGAGCACAGAGGCCATAGCAGGGCATTAGAACCTTGGCACTGGAGTGACAGGCTGATATGGCAGCTACCTCTCTAAATGCTATACTGCTTCCTTATTCTCCAGTACACAAGTCACAGGTGTGGCTGCACAAACCTTGAGTCCCCCACCTCAGGAGGCAGAGGCAGGCCGATTTCAGAGTTCAAAGCCAGCCTACTGTACAGAGGGTTACACAGAGACCCTACTCTAAGAAAAAGAATAAGCAGCTTATTTCTGGTCCTACAAGCAGGCATCTAAGACAGGTAACCAAGAAATATATTTTTCTTACTCCAGTCCCAGTGCCAAACTTACTGCATCCTCATGCAGAAAGCTGACCTCAGAGCTACCCCAAGAGGAGAAGAGACCACCTTGCCATGGCTCACCTCAGAAAACTTGCCGTCACCAAACCACTGTACCCATCGCATGCCAGGCATGGCCTGGCGCTTGGAGGTGGCTTTCCAGGAAACCACCATGGCAGGCCACCAGGAGAAGCCCTTGATTTTTCCCCATACAAGGTCGCCTATTCCAAACTCCTTATCATCCTGCAAGAACCAACAGAAAGAATTTCAGTCACCAAGGCAGGTGAACCCTGAGAAACTCCACTGACCTAGGGCAAGAAAAAAACTGTTGGCCATAAAATGTGATACATGAGTTTGAGAAATAGCTCAATGGTACATACAAAAAGGTGCCAAGGAAAAATAAGTTGTATAATAATATGTATTTTTTTCACAACTTTTTGTATGCAGAGGTGTGTCCATGTTTGGCTGTATGCAGGAACCCATGTATGTTCAAGTGGAGGTCATCATGTTAGAAGTCTGTCCTCTCCCAGAGACTGAACTCAGGTGAGGCTTGGTACCAAGTGTCTCTTACCACTGAGTCAGCTCACCATCCTGAAATTATGAAAGCATAAAGAAGCCCATGCCCACACTTGAGCACATGTTCCTTGGGCTAATGGCTTCCTCCTAAATAACCTTAACTACAACACTGCTTCACAAAAAAAGAAGCAACATACAGGACTCCATCAGAAGGTACTCTGAAGCTTTGTCTAGATGCATACATCCACATGCAGGAAGGAAGTCTCAATTCATTAAATACACTCCAGAGCCTGAATACACACAGTGTGAGAGCAAACTATTGCTTAAGTGATAAAAGCCACTGTAATGCCTGAACAGGATCAAAATTTCTAAGGTCATAAATATTATCCAAAAAAATTATGTCCAATTGGAACTACTAAAATGCTGAACTGATTAGAACAAAGGTGGGGATTAGAACAAAGAAAAGGCCACATTGTGTTTGGAAGTTCTTGGATTATACCCAGTAAAATTAACAGAAATTCTAGTAGCATATGCATATATTCCCAGCATTCGGTAGAACAAGGATTTGGAGGTCATCCTTGGCTACACAAAACTTTGGGTTTGGAGACAGAGTCTCACTATACAGCCATAGCACGGAGCTTCTCTGTAGATCAGGCTCTGTAGATCTGCCTCATGCGTTTTATGATTAATTATGTATGCTATGAAACCATCTTTTTCAGGGATAAAATACCACTTGGATGTGGCACCGAAGAGGCAGAGACAGGAGGATTTCTGTGACTTTGAGGCCAGGCTGGTCTACAAAGTGAGTTCCACAACAGCCAAGGCTGTTAAACAAAGAAATGCTATCTCAAAAAAACAAAAGGAAGTGAGGGGACATTTGGAGAATAAATAATTTTTGTTTGTTTTTTGTTTTTTGAGACAGGGCTTCTCTGTGTAGCTTTGGAGCCTATCCTGGTACTCGCTCTGGAGACCAGGCAGGCCTTGAACTCAGAAATCCACCTGCCTCTGCCTCCCAGTCCTGGGATTAAAGGCGTGCGCCACCACGCCCATCGAGAATAAATAATTTATGTTTTCTTTTCCCGTAATTTGGATCTTGTGCACCTGGGACAAAATCCCTTCTCAGTGGTACCTGGTACTCAGTGCTGTCTCCATCTTTGCTCTCTGCATACAGTTGTGTGGCATCCATACTCTCTTGCTGGCTGTCCTGGCTCCAGTCAGTTGATGGGGTACTGCTCCTCTGAGGTGTCCCTTCTTCTATGAGGTCGATACTGGGATAAGGGCTGGCAGGGGACGACCATGGTGTGCTTGTAGAAGACGATGCTCGCCTTCTCCGAGACTATAGATAGAAAGACAAGACTGAGACCTAGTGAAGCAAAGTGGAAGGAGGTACACGTACAGTGTCTACCAACAGGTTCCCAGAGATGTTAAGAGTGAAAGAGCAAACCAGCACCCCAGAAGACAGGGTTACAGGGACAGGCACCTGGCAGCCATTTGACCCAAAGGCAGAAAGGAAACAGAATAAATAGTGTAAGAGCAATGACAGGTAACAACCAGAGGCTCTGAGCTGTGAGCTCAGAGAGAGTGGGGTCTCCAGGAAACTGGCTCCTGTGCATCTGGAAATAGAAGTAGAATGTGCTGGACCTGCTGGGGTTGCCTCAAGACAGCAGGAAAAAACAAAAGAAACATGCGTGGTAGACACCAGTGGCTTTAGCTCAGCTCCAAGGTGGGCCAGATTCCTAAGCAATCTGGAACTCTTGACTCCTCAAAGTAGTTCTAAGTATGATGAGTCAGGAAAGAAAGATGCCAGACCCTGAAAAGCAGGTGTGTGTGAAGAAAGCATAGGTTATAGCCAGTGCTGTGCAGATTAGTGAAGCAGATCTTTCAGAGACAGGACCAACCCTGGTAGCTGGGAATTCCACGGGGTATTCCTGCACATGGTGGCGGCCCTGGCGGCCTCTGGTGATTCTGGGCGAGGCTCTTTGCCTCTCCAGGCTGGAGGTAATGTTGCTGTTTCGGGTTCGAACCTGAAAGTAAGAAGGGATAAACACAGGGCCTTAGGTGACTGGGGACATGGGGTCCAATGAAGGTGCCCAAAGGGTTTGGGCCCTGAGATAGCCTCCAGTCAACCTGAAGTGGAGAAGATAATTGGATATAAAGGTGGGGATCCCTTTAACAAGGGTATCTTTGAAAGGGACAATCACACTGGCCCATGTCACAAAGATTTCACCACCTGATTTGGCAGCAGCAAATGAAGAGTAAGCAACTGTTTACCTTAAACCAGTAGTTCTCAACCCTCCTAACGCTGTGACTCTTTAATACAGCTCCTCATTGTTGTAATTTAAAAAGTGGCGAAAGAGGATTAGACACGATAGAACAAAGTTTATGTGGAGAGTTTTCTTAGGGCAAAGGGGATGGGAAAAGGGAGGCAAGAGGGAAGACCAGCCTCTGTGGACAGGAGCAGCAGAGAAAAGAGGCAGAGAGGCAGAGAGAGGTGAGAGGGAGACAGAGAGACAAGCAAAGAGAGATGGAAAGAGAGACAGAGAGGGAAAGTAACAGACAGAGAAAGAGAGAAAGATGGGAGGTGGGCAGTTTCCTGGAGTTTTAAGCAGGAGAAGCAAACGATTGCAAAGCCTTCCTCAGTGGGACTGTAATCAGAAAGTCAAAATGTAATCAAAAGTAAAGTGGTCATGAAGCTCTTGGTGCTGTGCTCAGTGTATCAAACGTCCAAAGCTCATCTGCTCTATCAGCTCTCATTTTTTTACCTTCAAGTTCAAGTAAGGATCTGAATTATCCTGTTGTGGCTAAGCAACATCAAAATTTAACCAAGGGGTCCAGTGAATTAGGGAACTTGCCAAACCTTGCCAATCCTTGAGTTTTGTCCCCAGAATCTACATGCTGGAAGATGATAACCTACACACACCCAACACACATAAAACCAAATGTGTCCACATTTTTTTCTGAATAATTGTCTAAGCCTTATTTTCTATCCAGGTCCAGGCATGGTGGGAGATGCCAGAGTTACCAGGTGGGAGGGACTTACAGCTGGACTTTCCGAGGGTGACCTTGTCTCCTTGGTCTCACGCGTGAGCTTTGGCATTAGTAGAATGTCTGAGCCATCCCCATCCTCTGCTTCACCATCTCCATCTCCATCTCCTGCCAGGTCCTGTGGTAAGGATAAAAGATGAACTAACGCAATCAGTGTACAGAAACATCACCACCTCTGCACTGACATTACCCTAGGAGTCCAAAATACACCAATGATCATCATCAGGTTTTTCTCTAGCAAAATTTCACTCCTGCTAATCACATGCTCACAAATTCAAATTGGGTTGAAAAGATAAATCCCAGGATCTGGATAAATGGCTCAGAGGTTAAGAGCACTGGCTGCTCTTCCAGAGGGCCTGAGTTCAATTCCCAGAAACCACATGATGGCTCACAACCATCCCTTATGAGATCTGGTGCCCTCTTCTGGCCTGCAGGCAGACATGCAGACAGAACACTATACATAATAAATAAATCTTTAAAAAAAAAAAAAAAAGATAAATCCCAAGTCACCAGCAAATTATGGAAATGAGACTAATGCAGAATGCTGCCTCCCCGGCATCGTCAACTCATTCACAACACATGTGAGAGGACACGAGACGAGGGGTTTGCTTACAGTGACATCCCAGCCATCCAGATACTGTCTCAAACAAGCAAATCAGACATACCGCAACCAAGGTGAAGTCATTCCAGAAATGTCTTTGTGTTCTATTTGAATACTGATTACAGATAGGGAGACATAACTTTAAATACACGGGAAGGATCAAATAAAAGACTTTGCAGTGGAGTAAAGAATTTCATTTGTCCTTTTTCTCATGCAATCAAAACTAAAAGAACGGTATAAAACCACATGAAGAAAAGAGATGATGGTACCTGAGTGTAACTCAGCAGGTTGGAGACCTCCCTCTTTGACAGCCGTGAGCTTGATCTTCGGCCTGTAAGGAAGATTTGGGAGTCTGCATTTGGGAAATAGGACAGTGATCACCAGCCTGGGGAGTGGCCTTGCTTTAAAATGCATCCTCAACATTCTGTCATTCTAGGAATCAGTGTCCTCATCACCTCCATGAACTCACTGGACAAAGCGACAGGGCCTGGCTTATGCCTTCCTCTCCACACGTTAAGCATTAATTAACATCTAAGGAGGAAAAGAAGCCCATTCCTTCACAGTCCATTCCATGAAACTGGTTGATACTGGCTTCATTTCAAATGTCCCTGTGTGGCCAAGTAGCTCTTGGGGTGAACAGGAAAATAGGCCACTTTTATCCATTTCATAAAGTCCTAAAAGACATGGTAGATGTCAAGGACCAGAAGGGACCATAGAGGCCCCCAACCAGTGGGGGCGGACTTTCAGGCAGTCGGGGAACTAACTTCTAAGAAGAGGCAAGTTGGCAGCATCTCCTGATCATCATGAAGCCCAACTCAACAGAAGAGACCCAATGTGCTGGTCTCCACTGAGACCTGCCATGGAACCTGCTATGTCAGAGATTTGACACCCACCTCTGCTCTCTGATGTGTTGACTGCCTCTGTGCACATTGCCTCCAAGACTGGGGGTGAAGGAGCATCCTTAGTATCTGAGGCCTGGTCACTACAGTTCCCATTGACGATGAGACATTCCTCACACCCGCTGGCACCCTCCTCCTCATTCAGATGTCTACTATCTCCCTTCATTGTTTCCTGTTGGAAAAAAGTCAGGATAAGTAGGAGAAATGGGGGCACAAAAGGGCTGCACATTCCAAGTTTCATATTACAGGTTCTCTATCTCCAGCCCAAGAGACCCCACTCAATCTGAAGCTGACTGTCTGTCTGTATTCCCACTAGACTCCTACCAATAGCCTGTCTGCTCACCAAATTTGGAGGCTCAGGATTTGGTTCAATGGGGCTAATTAGGTGAATCTCCAAGCCCCTGATACCAAGCCCCAGGACAGAGGGAGAGGATGGTGTTAAGGCTGAGGTCTAAAGCTAGGGCTGCTCTGCAATTGGCCAGCCCTTCAAACGATGCCATTTAGGACATGCTTGCCTGGGCCTGCTTGGGACAGCCTAAGTTCCCTTCTGTCTCTGGCCCCTCTCCCCTGCCCAGCCTCTGCAGATCCTCAAGAAGCCTGTGCACTCTTTCCCCTTGTGACCCCTTTGTTTGCTCTTCAGGTCTCCTTCCCTCTGCCCCTCCTCTCAAGCAGGCTTCTCTCTTCTCCATGGCAGCATAAGCCCCACTCCGGCCCATTGGTTAGTTGGCCTGTCACTCATTCCCCCCTCATCAGCTGGGGGTGAAACCCAAGTTCTGAAGGGAAGAAGGATGGAGGAAAAGCAGTGACAGAGCTGTGGCAGTCACCAGGAGTGACAGCTGACCTGCTATGGCCTCATGACACCTCCCATTGCTGTTTCTCAAGTAAGCCAGCTAAGACAGTGAGCCAGGTCCTCACTGATGGGTTCCTGGGCTTGTGTGACCTATGCCCTGTTCACAACATTGTGGACACCAAGCAGGCATATGTACATGTAAGAACCGATATTCACCCGAACCTGTACCCATCTGGGTAACGCACGCCTTTAATCCCAATACTCAGGAGAGGCAGAGGCAGCTGGACCTCTAGGCCCCACCATGCTACATTGTAAGATCCTGTCTTAAAAACAACAACAAACTAGCTTTCTAACAGACAACTGTGAGCCCATTCTGGAGTAGGGAAGTAGTAGTACACAGGAAAGAACCTGAGCTTTCAACACAAAATGCAGCATGTCCCTACAGCAAAAACACTGGGGAACCTGAGGGACGATCAAAGACAGCCTGGGGCACAGAGACATGCTGCCTCAAAAGACTAAGCATGCTGAGACTGTGCTTCAGTACTAGTTCAGTGCTTGCCTAGCACTTCATGAACCAGAGCTGGAAGCCAGCACTGCAAAATGTCATGAATGGTAAGGGTGACCCTGACTCGAAACTGTAAAACTGAACAATAAAATAGAAAAATCAGGTGCAAGCAAGACAGATGGCTCAGGTGGAACTAATTTCAATGCCCAAACCCACATGGAGAAACTCCTGCATTTTCTCTTGATGAATGCAAGCTCTTGCATACACACACAAGTAGACAAAAAGACCAAAAGAAAAAAATACCCATAAATTTTGAGGGTTGGCGAGATGGCTCAGTGGTTAAGAATACTGGCTGCTCTTCCAGGTCTTCAGTTCAATTTACAGAACCTACATAGCTCACAACTGTCTGTAATGCAACCTGGTACTCTCTTCTGGCCTGCAGGCATACATGCAGACAGAATACTAGATGCATAATAAATAAATAAATAAATAAATGTAAAAAAGAAAAACCTATTTTATACTGGGCGGTGGTGGTGCACACCTATAATCCCAGCACTTGGGAGGTAGAGGCAGGTGGATCTCTGTGAGTTCCAGGCCAGCCTGGTTTGCAAAGTAAGTTCCAGGACAGTCAGAGGTGTTACATACAGAGAAACCCTGTCTCAAAAAACCAAAGACAAAAATTAAATTTTAAAAATTAAATGAAAACAAAGAAAAAAAGGAAAGAATATAGCTAGGTTAATGGAAGATTTGCATAGCTAAACCTTTAGGGAATTTTTTATCACCATGAGAAAATTAAAGCTATCTATAGCTGTTCACATTTGTAAATCGAGAATTTGGCAAGCTAAGGAACAATAGCTTCAAGAGTTAAAGCCAAAGCTAGGCACTGGCAGTAGTGGTGCACACTTTTCTTTAATCCCAACACTCAGGAGGCAGATTTCTAAGGCCAGCCTGGTCTACAGAGCAAGTTCCAGGACAGCCAGGGCTCCACAGAGAAACCCTGCCTTCAAAAACAAACAACAACAACAACAACAAAAGGCCTGGGCAACATAGTAAATGAAACCTACGGGAACTATAACCCCAGCACTGAGAAGCAGGCAATCCCTGTGAATGAGGCTAGCCTAGTCTACATAGCAAGTTCCAGGATAGCCAGGACTACATCATAAGACCCTGATAAATAATTACAAGACTGAAGAGATGGCTCAGTGGTTGCTGTTCTTCCTTCCAGAGAATTTGGATCAATTTCCAGAACTCATGGTGGCTCACAACCTTCTAACTACTTCCAGGGGATCTAACAACTTTCAGAGGTACTGTGCACATACACAAGATATTTATGTAGGCAAAACACCCACCAACCAAAGTAAATAAATCATTTTAAAAATAAAATTATATATATAACTAATCTAGGATTAAATAGACAAACATGCTTTTATACCCAGGAAATGAAAGTCAAGTTTGCTTTTTCATTATGTGAGACACAGGTTCTACTGTATTGAAAAATCCCTAGACAGAGAGGGCTGGCTTTGAACACCTACCATCAGCCTCAGAAATGTTGAGATTGGAGGCATGGACTATGCCTAGCTTGCTTTGTGAACATGCTCCTCCTGGTGCATGTCTACCCTTGACAATGAAATATGTTGCTAAGAACTGGATATCCTCTCTCTCTTGCTCTCTCTCGCTCGCTCGCTCTCTCTCTGCGTGCACGCGCACACACACACACACACACACACACACACACACACACACACTATGTTACTGTTTGGTTTTTCAGTAAGTTGTTATTCTGTTTTTCTGTTTGTTTGTTTCTTTGATACAGGGTCACTATGTAGTCCTGACTGTCCTGAAACTCTCTATGTACACCTACATAGTGTTTCTGGACTCAGATATCTGCCTGCCTCTTTCTCCTGAGTGTTAGAAAGTTAGTTTCTGACTTTGAACTGATTTTACAGCTATCCATAGGCATCAGGTTGCACCAGGCCTGGATTCTCATCCTCTGTTCATGCTATACAGCCCACTGAAGTCACTTACTACATACGCTCGTGTTCAGAAACCAGATGAGCAGTTGCCCATCTGGTTTCCAGTCTCCCCTTGCTTCCATTTCAAACACCACGAAAGGCTATCTACCCAGGGAACTTTCTAGAAGCAGCACCTGGTGCTGTCAGATTACATGACAGGTTTCCTGTCCACCAGGGGGCACAGTGTAGCTCAGGATGAACAGGCCCTGTGTCACCCACAGGTATATTTGCAATTTATTCAAGGGAGCCCAAGCACGAACACTCCACAAACCAGGCATTCAGACCTCTCATTCCATCCATAGGCCAGAGCCAGTACCTTGGATTTGATATGAGAGCATTAGCTACAGTCTCCATCTCAGGCTAAAGCTAACTACCCTGCTCCACCAGGGTTTTGTTTTATTTTATTTTTTGGTTTTTCAAGACAAGGTTTCTCTGTGTAGCTTTGGAGCCTGTCCTGGTACTTGCTCTGTAGACCAGGCTGGCCTCGAACTCACAAAGATCCTCCTTCCTCTGCCTCCCAAGTGCTGGGATTAAAGGCGAGCGCCACCACTGCCCAGCTCCACCAGGATTTTAAAAGTTATCAAAATCCTTGTCTGATTAATCTGCACGTTAAAGACTCACTGTTGTTACACAAACAGAAAATGAAACTCCTCTGCTCAACATGGCCCAGTGTTTGGACTTTCTCAACACAAGGATTGGCTCCCCACAGACTGGGGAAGTATCGGATCCAGCCCATCACCAGGAACCATGGCCTGGTACCACGAACTAGCCAACTGTGGCCAGTTCCTGAGGCCAGAAAGGCAGACTTAAGACAGCTGCTGGAATGTGTTCAAAATAAGCATTTCCCCTCCGAGCACATCAGTGTCACTAAGTAATCTGAGTGGCCTGCCATGAGTGGGACACTCAAGGGTTCACTTCCACAAGGCACACTCTGGGGGTTGGGAAGACATGGCCAAAAGGAGCTGTTGTGGAGAGGAGGCATGACCTCATGCAGGGTCAGTGGTGGGTTTTCTCACACAGCCTTGGACTTCGGTCCCTCAGACAGGCCCTAACTGGGTCACCAGAAGCCAGACAGCAGTGTGCCCTCTTCCTACACATGTTCCTGCAGACCTGCTGCCCAGAGCTGACAATGATTAACTACCTCAGACCTTCCCCCAGAGCATTAGCGTGCCTAGCAGGCCAGTGTCTGAAAGGTGAGCAGCATACCTTCCCAAAGCACATCAGTATCCCACAAAACTCTTGCCTGGACCCACAGCCAGGGCCCTGGAAATGAGCCCTGTCATTACTGCCCATTTCCTGGGTGCCCAGGGATGAACTGCACTGAGGAACTTACACACTGGGGCTAGAGATGACTCAGTTGTTAAGAGCACTTCCCTAACAGGGCCGCTGGGTTGCCCTACAAGGTGGCTTATAACTTCCCTAACTCCAGTTCCATGGGATCCAACTCCCTGTTCTAGCCTCCTCAAATACCAGGCAAACTCATACTGTGCACACACCTGCGCGCACACATAGTGAGTTCCAGGCCATCCGTGTCTCCAAGTTAGACCCTGTCTACAAAAACAAAGGGGGAGGGGGGATACACTGGATATATAACTTAGGTAAAGAGAACTTACTTGCCTAGTATCCACCAGAGCCTGGCACCCCCTTTTAGTTCTTCCTCAGGGCTTGGTATGCAATGCCAGATACACATCTTTCCCAGGTATCTCATTTTGGCTTCTGGCAATTCAAAGCTAACATTTCCTGCGTAATATGGTCCCTATCACAAGACAACTGCATTATTTACTGTGATTGTTCCAGTAGGATTGCTAAACTGGCTTTCTTCCCAGGGAAAGCACTAACTTCAAAAGGATTTTCCAGTG